TCAATTTCCACATGGTCGCTTTAAAGGCTTTGGCAGGAGAATAATATATAAGTGTGTGCGCTTCTGTGTTCATGTTTGTGTGTCCATGAATCATTTCATCGTGCATTTGTGTGTGTTTTATGTGCTTATTTTGTGCACAGAGATTGAACATGTGTGTGTGTGTGTGTGTGTGTGTGTGTGTGTGTGTGTGTGTGTGTGTGTGTGTGTGTGTGTGTGAGTGAGTGAGAGAGGGTGCCTTTGAAGGAGGTCCAGGCTCCATCTCTCAGCAAATCAGCAGGCCAGAAAATCCAATCTGCCTGGAGAGACAGCAGGCTGTACATCATCTGCCATGGATGGACACTATCAGCGCTTTATCAGTGACCACCCCCTTACAAATACACACACACACGCACGCACGCACGCACGCACGCACACACGCACGCACGCACGCACACACACACACACACACACAATTTTTCAATAAGCACATGCATGAAAGAACACACACAGCCCACTGTGACAGAGACTGATGGGCGTTATTACCATAGTGGTTGTGTGGAGGGATGGAGGGAGGTGGAGGCAGGAAGTGAAACTCTGGCTTTAGTCCGAGGACCTTGAGACGCTAATGCAGATGCTGACAGCTGTGACAGTCTCTCTTTGCCGGTGATACCTTAGTATTCCAGCATGTACGCTATGTTGATATTAACCTCTGCTGTCACTAAGTTACTCGCAAATGATCCTGTGTCATAGCGTCACACTCATTTGGATAAGAGTGGATGGGTCCCCAAGGACCTTGCACCATTGATGGAATTGAAGAACGGCGGGTGTGGGAGGAGGGGCTTTCCAAAGCTATGTGACCATTAAAGAAACCGCTCTGATGGTATGACTTTAAATTGTGTCATTAGGACTGAATAAAATCCCCCCCAGAATGGAGAAAAATAAATAAGCTGAAGGTAAAAAAAAGAAAGAAAGAAAAAAATGAGCCAAATGGAAAAACTTTCAATGTTCAGGTCCTCAGTGTGCTCACTATAGTGCTAACATGTTTTTCTGTTTACACTCAAAAGCTGTCATGTGCTCTTGCTTTGTCACGATTCAAGTTATGTTTGGACAAGTTAGAGGACCACCAGTGTATATATGGCACTGCCATATACTGTATATAAAAGATGGACATCATTTCTGACTCTGAAGTCTAATTAAAATACATTTTTCTTATATATTACCAAATCACAACAACAGTTGCCTCAGGACATTTTGTATTGTACAATAAAGATGTACAATATTACAGAAAAAAACAACAACAATTTTAAAATAAAATAAAATTGAAGAAAAACAATTATTAAAGTAAGTTTGTGGTCTAAAAAGCTAACTTCATATCTCACAGAAGGTGGTTGCTGAAAATCTTGGCTGTTCAGAGTGCTGTATGTGTGTATTAATGGAAAGTTCACAAGGAGTCAGTTTAGGCTGGTTTCAGTCTGAGCTAAAAAGAACAACTGTTGCTCAGTGGTCCAAACTGTTGCAGATGAAAGCGAGTTTTGCATTCCTTTTGGGAACTAATTTCCCAGAGCCTGGAGGAAGACTGGAGAAACATACAACCCACAGTGAAGTTGGGTGCCACGTCATCTGCTGGGGATGCAGGTTGGTCCGTTCTGTTTTATCAAGTCCAAAGTGAATGCAGCAGTCTACCTCATGCCTCCATCTGCTTTATGGAGATGCCGATTTCCTTACTTAGCACCTGCCCACAGTGCCAAAACTGCTACCAAACAGTTTCCTGACTGATCAGACAACTCGACTGGCCTGAACCCCACAGAGAATATACAACAAGAGAAAAATGAGCTTAAGGTTGCTATTAAAGCAATCTGGGCTTCAGTAACGGCTCAGCAGTGCCACAGCTGATATCCTGCATGAAACCACGTCACACTGATGTAATAGTTCACGGTAAAGGAGTCACATCCAAGTAGTGACTGTAGAAGCTTGCACAGACAGGTCTTGCTGTTGTGCTCAGGACAGGACGCGCACTTAGTTTAGTTATCCAACAGGATAAGTGTATGCAAAGGGAAAAGTACACCAGAGAAAACGTGTGATTGGTTAAAACGCAGCTCGTTTGCTCATGTGTTTAGTGTTTCTGTGTCTGAGTAAATATAAGTATGAGCAGGAGGGACAGAGCGAGACAGGCTGGGTGGGGTAGGGTGGGGGGCAGTGGAAAGTGAGGCGAAAAAAAGATTGGGCTTATAGCAATCACTCCTCCATCTATCTGTCTGGATAATTAATATAAATCTGCTCATTTGTCTTCAGCCAATCAATCTAGATTTACACTTGCACATGCACACACAGGGACGTGCACACACATACATGGAGTTACGAGCACACTTAAATGCTTCTTGATGCCCTGATTGTCTGCTTATATGGCTCTGCAGAAATCTGTAATGAGAGAGAATGAAGCAGTGAAGGCGGGATAGAAGAAAAATATTCTGATTAGAGAAAAATGAGTGAAATATTGATGGAACTCTATCAGTCTCCGTGTGCTTCATTTGCCACTCAGGCAGATTGGTTGGATGGGTGAAATTGTAAGGACTGCACCACAGCAGCTGGGAAGAATGCAGGCTTTTAGCCACTTTGGATCACTTGCTGTCACAGAGTTTGAGATTTGTTAAATGTAATTCAAGTTTCTTACAAGTTGGGTACTATAAATTCACAGTTTTGCTCATTATCTGTGTATTTCAAGTTTGAAATGAGTTAAGGGAACACAAAAGTCTAACTGGAAAGAAAGGAGAGATGGTTAAAAGAGTAGTTAAATCACATTGCATGAGAGGTAAAAAAAAAAATAGAAGGAGAAGTTGGTGGGGGAAATACTGAAGTCTTACCACTTGTTTCACTTCCGGTCCATAATATCCACCCACGAGAGCTTTGCTTTGGAACTGAAATGAAAAAACATGATGAAGCAAAACTGGAAAGAATCAGCACAGGAGTAGAACAAAGATTAATAATCAAATGTAGCCTGTTTGTATGACTTACTTTTTTCTTTTTGCCTTATTGTTATTTTTTTTATTCTGCTGTTTTTGATGATTACGACACATTCTGTCCCATGTTGATCAACCTTTTTGAGTTCAGGTCAGACCAGTTTGAATGGCTCATTCATTAGAACCTGGTGTTTGGGGGGGGAAATACATGAACATAATGGGATTTCTCTTAGGAATAACCTCCAAAAACAATTTTGTGCAATTTCCAACTAGTAAGACGATATTAGTACGGAATTGAAAATATTAATTAACCTGGGCATGTATTGGTAGCAGTTCCAGGTATAAACAATTTAAGATGGTTGGAGGGTTTTTAAATATCACCAAGTAATAATTTAGGATCAAATAATACACTTTGTACAACTAAATACATCGATCTAGCTTCATCATAGGTGTAGTAGGCAGTAATTGATTTGTTGCTAGACGAGTACATTATCGAACTGGTTAACTTTCACTGAGACTCCGCCATAAAGGTTTCCATGATTGTGTTGACGATGTCCTGAGGTTAGTGAAGGGGATTTTCCACTAACAGGGCAACCTTTAAAGATGGCTGCGCTATGCCGAGCTTTTCAATCTTTTGTGATGTATTAAATAATTCAAGAGTGTCTGCCGGCAAACTTTAAACTAATGTATGTTGGCTCAACAAACAACATCCTGGTAATGTGTTTCACACTTTATTCATAGAAAAGCACTGAGATTCCAACACAAATCAATATAAAATGGTAGTAGCGTTACATAAATAGTAATAAATTCTCGCTTTATAGACAGTAGCTCAAGAAGTCGCACAAAAAAAAAAATTACAAAAAAAGAAAAGGTGTTGATGATAAGCTATGATACTTCTGTGGCAACAAATACTGGAGATACCTTTTCATAATCAGTAGCACAAAGAGGCAACAAACACTTTCAAATATCCCTTAAAGTTGGAAAGAATTCAAAAACAAAAACTGGGAAAACAGTAGGTGAACTAGATCTCTACCAGCAAACAGTACTTCTCCTACAAACCAAAGACAGACGGGGACAACAAAGAAAAACGCCCAGGAACTGGCTGAGTTAGTTAATAAAGAAGGAAAAGAAAAGCAAGGAAAACTTTGCTGCAGTGAATGCATCACATAAAGGCAGCCGACTGGAGCTCCCCGGCGAAATTATTTTCCTAATATATTATCAAAAAAAAAAATCAATGTATCATTTCATTATCCTCATGTAGAAACCTCGCAGCTTTATTTCGTTTTCTGCAAGCTACTGTAGCGCACTGATGTCAACGTGTTTCAGGATAGTCGCACTTAAACGCAACTGGCTTTAAATCCAACGTCCTCCTTGTGCGAGAGGGATCGAGGTGTTCAAGAACATCAGGGGAAAACAAAACTATAGAAGACCTGAACTCAGCCAGTTTAATGAGGTGAAGAGGAACTGAGAAAGCATTTTTTTAAAAAAGTTAGAAGGAATGAGCACGAGGTCATCCACAAGCCGTCTCTTTTTTTGTTCATACAGTTGCCGTTTCTAGACATTTGCGTATCGTTTCGTCTCACCACAGTGTTGCCGCACAATGCGACACCTCTGAGAAGACACTGAAGGCTTTAGTCCTGATTAAAGAAAACCAACAAACAAAACAAATAAAAAATCAACAACTTTTGTACATTGATCGACCAGAAAGGCATTTTCCACCGTCTTTCGCTTTTTCGTCTCCTCTAAACGTTGCAGCGGAAACAGGCCGGCCACTGTGCACTGTCCGAATATAAGCGTGATGGGTCTCCTTTTCGTCCGCAACACCCCCGTCCTCATTAATAGTGGTTCAACCCACTGGGTCTCTGCACTCAGTTTTAAGGGGGTATATTAAAGAGGGGACAACACCATCGAAGTGGTTCTGCATAGTCAGGTTTAGTAAGAATCCGTTTACAAATGAATGCCTTCCTCATTTTACTCAACTTCAAATAACATGCTCACTTTTGGAAAACACCCCCCATCTTCTATAAAACACAAATAATAATAGCTATTATTGCAAAAAAAAAAAAAGCAAGAAAAAAAAAAAGCCAAAAAACAAAAACTGAAAGAAATGTACACAGGAGCACCTGAGAAATGCCTTGAAGTCTTTGCTCTTACAAAACAAAAAAGGGAAAAAAAAAGTTGTCAAACACCCCTGTCCAAAACAATTCAAGTACACCCCGTCAAAATCATAAAAACAAAGAACAAAACCATAACATACATCATAAATAATTATAACTTTACAATTTTTTGAATTGACACTTTAGTATTTACAATATCTTAAATGCTAAATGCTACTACTTTTTGTTTTGTTTCTTTAAGTGGTGTCCCTGAGAACTGAGTTTAGCCTCTCTTCTTTTTGCTCAGTTTTCCTTTTTTCATTCCCATTCTTCTATCTGCATTTCTTCAGATCCAAAAAAACCAAAAACAAAACAAAAAAAGACAGAGAGAAAGAAAGTAAAGGCCCAGAGTTGTGACTGACTACCCAGGTTTTGGGTGAAGGTAGCTCTTGTGGAATGTAAAAGCAGACAGGAAAATGTTCCTCCATTCAAAAAGTGTTCTACCAATAAATAAATGCTGAAGCAGGCAGGAACGCACTGAAGAGGTATTCGTGTGAAGTGCTTTAAACGATGACATTAAGTCTGACCAGTAAAAGATTCAAGCTCTTTCTGTACTGCATTACTGCTGGTAACAACAACACTTTGCCACTGGGTAAGAAAAAGGGGGTGTGGAGATCCCCCATAAAGAGAAAACGGCTTCCTGTGCCAAGATATGTGGTCTCAAATACATACAATGAAGTCATCAAGTAAACTCTAGTCTTTGAGTTTGCACTGCAGCCCTGTGAGAAAGTCAAGGAGGACTCATCTTCACTGTTGATGATGATCATGACCAGCAGCTTTCACAGGTGACTTTGCGTCTTTTCCATCACAAGACCGAGAAACTGAAGGAAAGATGACGGGGCTAGTCTATTTACTGCTGCTCACCTGATATTTAACATTTTACATTTATGTCTTTTTAATTTTGTTTATTTAGGTTTTCAGTGGTTCTGAACACACTACTTGAATACCTTTAATATTTTTGTCCATGAAGCGCCTTGAGGCGACTTTTGTTGTGATTTGGTGCTATATAAATAAAATTGAATTGAATTGAATGTGGGACCAGCAGAGTAAGCTAAAAACAAAGCTAACTAATGACGCCAATGCAGTGGGGCAACAAACTGCAGATCCACGATAAAATACCCAACAAGCCAAATATTACATTTAAAATTAGTCTGTTGCAACTCTAGTCTTTCTTTTTTTTTTAAATTTTGCTTGGACTAAAAGATTCTGGGGAGTAGATTTTGTTTTCATTTTAATGAATGCATGCCGCTAAACCAAGCTAGCTAGCCAGTGCTAGCATAAGCAACTTCCTGCTCTCATCCAAAGAGGGTCACATCTGGTTAAATTATTATATATAATCATAAAATTTTATACAATTATTGAAATCTCTTTATCATCAAGCAGCAATAATAAGCTAACGGCACACTGACATTAGCACATTATATGCGTTCTCTGTTGCCTGGGTTCTCTCTGGGTGGTGTGGCTTCCTCCCACAGTCCAAAGACATTAATTGGTCATCCTGAAATAGCAGTTAGTGTGAATTTGAGTGCGACCTGTCCCGGGTGTGCCCCATCTATCACTCATGACAGCAGGGATATGCTCAAGCAACCCGGCAAACCTGAAGTGGACAAGTTGTTATGAAACTGCATGGATGGATGGATAGATGGATCCTCCCACCCACTTGGCTAAATTGTATTAAATTTTCATTATTTTTTCAAACCCCATTTAAAGTCCCTTTCAAATTTGTCATAAATAACACTGCTAGTTTCTGATAAAGTGACACTGTGGCGGCTCTGTGTAGACATAGTCATTGCAGGCATGTCACATTTACTGTATGCATAAATTAAACTGTATGTTAATTAATGAATAATGTGAGACGTGTTCTTACTACAACATGTCACTACACGCTCTTACTCCCAGTATGTTCTGTATCGAACCTTTGGCATCTCTGCCTTTAGTACTTTGCTTCAAAGTGGAATGTGTTGTTAGTGGAGGTATCTGAACCCAGACCACGATGTTCATCTAAACCTAAACAGGTGCTTCTGGTGACTAAACCCATTCAAATAGTGAGCTGAAATGATTGCAGTTAAAAACCAATTGCTAAGCCAAATTTCACAATGAGACATGATGCCAAAGGAAACATTTGCAGATGTGTCTAAGCCCAACTTAGCAAAACTAGCATGGTGACATCTACAAGAAATGCACTTCATGTTGGTTAAGACACATGACCACAGAACTCAAACTTCATTCTGCGGTTTTAAGGATTACTGAGCCAGCATCATGAACCAGGTGAGGATGCATTCCTTTGAGGTAATGCATCTGATTTCCAGTTCTTGTGATGGAAAAGGGACTTCGGCGACATGCAGAACTAACAGTCAGTGAAATCAACGAGGCCCCAACAGGTTCCAACGCTTCTTTGCACAACACCAGAAAGTGAACTTGTTTTTAGTGATAAAAACGAAGCAGAGGCTTGATTTATATTGCTTGCTGACTAAATCTCAATGTAGTGATGGTAAAGTGGGTGCTGGAGTCTTGCACGTTTAAAAGGTTTTGGCCACAAATAGCTGAAGAGCAGTGCAGTGGATGAGACTCCACCGGTTCTCACAGTTGTATTTTGTCACTGTAAATAAGCTTATAGGAGGGCATAACAGATATACTGTATTTATATATAGAGACTCGACTACCCTACCTTAGCTAAAGCAGCAGCCTGAACGTCACTGTCAGACGTCTGGATTTAAAAACACACACTCTGTGAAGCATCGTTGGACTTCCTATTTTAGATATTTGTCAGAAACCAGCAGGTGAAGGTTTTTAAATCTGCAGGTACTGACTTCCCCCACAGAGAGACCACATGGGGAGTTCTGTATTCTGCCCTCTCTACTCTAAAATGCCCTGAATGAAACAAAGAGGCCATTTCTGATCAAGAAGTTAAAGCTGACAGTACAGTCGAGGTATGACAATAACACTATGTGTGTTTTTGACCTCAGTGGATTTTTTTTGGGAATAACATGCTTCTTCCACTCTGAAAACCTCTCCTTCTTCTTAACCCCAGCTGAAAGCATCTTCTGGCTCAACAGTACATACAGCTAAATCATTTGGTTTTCATATCATCATGTACCCCCACAAAACTAAAGTTTGTTTTGCTTTTGCAGTCACATTCTTTTGACTTTTTTTCCTTTTTTTAAACACTAAATTTAACATTAGTAGGAGGGCAAAATGCTTTGTTTTTCTAGTTTTTCAAACCTTTCCCCCCCTTTTGCAGTCTTAATGAAGTAGAGCAATGTACTGCGAACACTTCCTGGTTCACATTCAAGAAAGAGAACAACGGGATAAAACCTCAGTCAGCAAATGGCTCAAAATACGTGAAAATAAAAAGAAATAAAACTTAAATTAGAAACACAGAAGTGTAACTGCTTCCCCCAAGAAGAGGGTCTCTGTGAGAGAAGGTCAGTAAGGTCAGCCGAAGCGCTCCCTGACCAACATCATCAGTTTCTTCTTGCCCTTGTAGATCTGTTTCAGGTTGTCTATAAACTGGGCAAACTGAATGTGTCCGTCCTGTGCCAGCAGAAAAGTCTCCCGCGCTTTGCTCAGGAACTCTATGAACTCTCCATAGTGCCGTGGACTGATGTGCGTCAGCCGAGAGTGCGTGGTGTTGATATACGCCGAGATCGTGGCGTCCAGGAGCTGGCGCAGCGGTGCCTTATCCGTGGACATCAGCTTCCCAGAGTTCCTTCTCCCAGGAATTCCAGCGAGACCCGGCGCAGTCATAGTGCACCGCCGTAGAATGTCAGACAACACTGTGGCGCAGTGCACGCTCTTCACCACCAGCGGAATAATAGCCGCAAGCTCATTCTTCCCCAGTGAGTGGCTGAGCGCACAGGCCCACAGCACGTCGTTAATAGCTGGGTGAGTGTCTTGGTTGTAGGCCAGGTTGAGATGTGTCATGGCCAGCGAGGCCAGCTTGAACGACCGCAGGGGGTATCCTCTGTGCTCCATGTACCTCGCAATGGTAAACAGCTGCGAGTAGGTCATGCCCGTCGACGCCGCGTCGATCACGATCTGGTAGGCCGTCTCGAAGGCGATGTGGTCCTTCTCGCAGAGCGTCAGAGCTGACAGGGCGCAGTTCTGTGGGTCCTTCATGGCACACTGCAGGGCCAAGGTCCTTGCGCAGCTTGCAAGCTCCTCCCGCTGGGGGTAGTCGAGGCTGAGGCGCAGGATGGTGTTATGGGACATGACGGTGGCCGCCACAATGCTGGTGGCTTCGGTGGGCGTGAACAGAGTATACCAGCTTTGTAAGATGCTCACCAGCGCCCGCAGACCTGATGAGAGGGAAAAAGAGATTGACCATTCAGTGCTTGTGACCAGAATCGCTCACTATTCACATCAGCAAGCTCGGCACTTTGAAGTGCTGTCCAGATGTAGAGTGAGCACTACTATAGCTTATATGGTACACTCAAATTCCTCATGAACAGCAGCCCCTTGGTCACTACCAAACGACTGTATAGCACCTTGCACTGAGCTGAAGGATTAAGGAAAGAGAAAACAGAGCAGCACTTCACACTCAGCTTTTCAGTTAGGAGGACTTGGAAAATGAAGCCATGTGTACCTCGACCTATAATCGTCCCAAATTGCTAAAGTTACTAAAATCATTAAATCATTTCATTACACTTGGTATAATTTGAGTCTATATTCTTAAAAAGATTATGGAGGCATAAATTTGACTTCTTAACTGATGGTGCAACATGTCATGCAGCCCCTCTTGTCTTCAAAGATCAAATGAGGGAATCTCTTTTGGGAAAACATCGTTCATCCCTCCTCATTTAGACTAACAAGACACTTCAGCTCAAAAGAAACTGTAAAGCTGAACTTACTGAAGATCACAACGCAGCACGGAGGCTGTAATTAGAGCATGAATCTGCTTTAAAAACGGATGCACATACCGACTTCAGTGGCGCAGGTTACCAGCCAGCGAACCATCTCTCTCCTCCTCCAGTTCAGAGTGGACAGAGTCATCCTCATCACCTGCAAAACACACATGGAGAACATGATGCGCTCTGTTAGCGCCATTGAACCGTTACACATTTCTATACCCTCTTGGCAGTTTTCATGAATACGTGCATTTGGAAATCAAAGCATTTTTGTGTAGTGTGTGATTTTCATAATTTAGCTGTTTGCATGGCACCACATGGCTCCTCTGATGACAGATGTAACCAGAATATGCTCATAATTGCACAGATGATGATTTGCGACCCTTCCATTTTGAGCACTTTATTAGCAGTTTTGCTGACAGGAATTCAGCCGATACTCTAAATACCAGCAGAAAGAGACGGGGGAAGCCACAGCGTCACTGCAGCCTGATGATCTGAGGACTTTTCTGTGTTTACTGTGGGACCCAAAAGGTTTAATTATGTGGTTTCTTCTCATCAACAACAGTAAGACTCTGTGTGATGTTTTTGCTGTTAATTTGTAGTGGGGCAGCAGAGGGCTGGAAAAAATGACAAGGTGAAGGAAACCGTTGCATGTTTTGACTGGCGATCGGTGCTCTGATTTGATTTTCTTTGCTGTGGTGAAATGATCTGTGAAAATTACTGACTTGCCCTCATACTTCGACTGCACTCTCTCCATGCACACACACATACAGTACCTGCAGTCCTAGCTCCAGCGCCACGTTGAGCAGGGTTATATCGGGTGGGCTCTCTGCGGGTGTTGCTATCTTAAAGGCGTCTTGGGCCAGTTTGAAGATTAAGGAAGAGGAGTGGATGTTTTTCTGGATGGCCTCCAGCACCGTCCGCAATCTCAACATGTCGCCTGCAAGCAAAAAACACAACGCAAACTAAGATCATGATGGAGAAATGCCTCAATAGCCAGCTTTGCCTGTTTGAGTAACATCTGAGCGGGCATTCAATAAGCTGGCGTTACCTTTAGCAGCAGTGAGCATGGTTGAAGCCAGCTCACACTGCTGTGACTCCAGGTGGCCCAGTGTGAACCAGCGTGGGTATCTGCTCGGAACTATGGAGATACCGTGATGAGGGTGGCCGACATCCCCAGAGCCCGCCGATGACTCCAGAACCGGCAACCTGGCACATGTAGTAAAAGATCTGTTTTAGATAGATGGCACTTTGTCCTGATGTTTTATTTATTCCAAGAGTAACACTAAAATATGGATCTGAGTATGCATTCAGTTACAGCTGCAGTATGTGCAACCGTATTACTTTTATGTCAAACTTTATGCTGGGACACATGGCAATTTAACACGAAACATTACCAAAGCATCACAAATACAATTACTTCTGTACACACACCCAATACAACAGCCCTATAAAAAACTTCAACTTTCAACCCAAATGTTCACCAATACCTCTAAAGAAGTTATAGCTACACAGAACAGAGCTGGCATCAGTGACAACAGATATGACACAGAGTACGTCATATAAAGCATAAAAGAAGGTGTCGGGGTGGGTTGCAAAGCATATTGCAGATGCATAGCAGCTGTGAGCAGGCTACACTTAAATAGCTAGTTGGCTATTTTATATGTGGCACTAAATCTTTGGCTGTCACAAAGTAACCGTTAGGTCATATCTTCTGAATTAATTTGGAATACTATTCAGATTAAAAAAGCCATGTCATGAAATAGAGGCCCTTATTCGTTTTACTGTGGCCCTGTTTGCGTAAAGGCAAAATTACCATCATTTACACACGCAACATAAAATACTTTTCATCAATAACTGTTTGAAGCTGCAGTGAAAGGGGAGTCTGACCTCATGGCGCGGAGAGCCACTTTATAAGCCAGGTCTGCGTCATGCGGCAGCAGGGCAGAGAACAGGTACTTGGCGAAGGTGTGCATTGGAACACTTTCCCTGTGGATGACCTCACCCAGACCGCTGAATGGGCCAGCTGGAGCAAAGAGAAAAACAAAATATTCTTTACCTTCTGTCTCAAGAACGTGCCACAAGAGACCACTGTGCTAGGTATGGGCTCCACTGCCCGATTGTGATTTGCACTGAATAAATATTGAAGTCAAAGCTTTCAAGCTACACTTTACAACCGTCACAACAAAAACCTTTCACGTTCTGGACTCAAAACCGTGCAGGTTTCAATATCTGATGAATGTTCTTAATATTGGACAAAATAAATAAATGAAATTTATAAAATTTACTGCAGACACCGTACCTTCTAGTAGCTGTATGGCCTGCTTCCGGAGGGTCTGAACCAATAGGTCGTCCAGCTCCAGTTCCTGAAGCTTTGCAACAATCTGCTCCTCATTACGACACACCTAGAACATGTTGAAGACACAAATAGCATTCACTCTAACTATAAGAACATTTTCAGTTCTGAAGTAGCCATTTAGCTATTAAGTGTTTTCAGTGGAATTCAACTACTTTCAAGAATTTCAAGAAAGAAAATGTGTATCAACCCACCAGCAAGAAAAATGATACGACAGAAAAGATCAAAAGAGTTTTAATACCTTTCTCAGAAAGGGTTTTGACCTTAGGACATTAAATGACCAGTACGTTCTTACAAACTTGCATCTATTCACATCTGTTGTTACAGCACAGATGGTAGAAATTTATTTTGCTGGAAAAAATATCTAGTAAAAGGTCTGTGTGTGCATGTGACTGGTTTTAAATGCAATTCTTGGTTGAAACATAGAGGCTGCAGCTAATTCCAGTGACATTAGGAAAGGTCTGTGGCAGTAGTGTTAAGCCCTCTAAAGCAGATTAGCATTTACACAAAGAAATGTTCCATGGATTTATTTTAAATCACAGTGAACTTAAGTACTGTGGCTTTCTGCTTGTTTTTCAGGAAACAAATGCTGCGACCTTTTCCCTCTCCTTCCATGACATTTACTTTAAACAAAATCATAAATTACAGTGATTTACTGATGGCGAAGGTGACATCTACAAATTTACACAAACCTCTTTATATAATAAAAGTGTGCCATAGGTGTATTTCGGTGTTCACTAGCAATTCAAGGATCCTCACTCTACTATATTCTCTATGATTTTAAGGTGATATTAAATTATTACCTTATCCTGGGCATACAGTCCCTCGGGCATGATCCTCTGCTGACCCATACCCATCAGAGCCACCTCTAAGGCCAGAGTCAAGTAGGACTCCCCTGCATCTGGACTGCCCCACACTGGCACATGATGGTAAACTGGAGGTCTGGGGTCACAGTCTAAAAGGAAAAAGATTCCCCCAAAAATGTAAGTCATTAACTTCACGTCATCTATACTGGTTTCAGAATGATAAGAAATCCAAGGAGACAGAAAAACAAAGACACCAACTCAGCAAGGATTCCTTTCATGACAGCAAAGTTTCAGAAGTCCACCTTATCCAATACTGACATGCTGCCCTAGCAGCTTCCAATCACCTTGTTTATAATCTAAATGGGAAAAAGCTTTAAATATAGTTTCTTCTTAATTTTAGCTTTATTACTTCAAAGAGAAGATTAGGTTTTTGCTATGGTACACTACCTTCACAGCACAAAAACATCCCAAACTGCCTCAACAAACTCACTTTAGAAGTCTACAAGCTATTTAATTTGGCTAATTCAGAGAAACTCCACTAGACCCCATTAGCGTATTAGCATAAGCAAAAGTAAAGTACATAATATTGCTCTGGTTTTATCAATACAACAACTCCAGCAGAAGGATTTTCATAAAACATGAAAGATTGTTCTGGGATGCTTTTAACCTTTATTTAAAATGTGTAGAAAATAGAAAATTATCACAATATGAACCAAAACCACTTTTATCTGCCTAGTAGTATATAAAAGATTACTGTTAAGGATAGTCAGAGCCTGCAAGCTTAGCACATTACTAAACCATACAGTTAATGGGTTATAGGAATGGCTACATGGTGCATATATAATGGCTCTGCCATATCAAAAATAAATTATAATCTGTTGTAGGACTAGCATTTGAAGAGGAAAATAAAACAATAGCAGAAAAAAAATACAACAAAAATACACAGATATTTGTGTGTGCCATATAAGCCACACTGTATAGCATTTATATCAGTGTGGCTTAGACAGTAGGTTGTTCATATATGTAAGATGGCTGCTTGCCCTACACTAATGCTTGACAATTATAACTGAGAACAGATGCCACAAGAGCCTCAGCTGTTGATTGGTGCCCATTTGTTCTCTCTCGCTCCCCCTCCCATCGTTTTGCTTAAATCCCGCCTGAGCAAGAGATCCCCCCCCCTCCCCCCGCCCCCAAATCCTGTTTATTCTAGGGATGTGTGTATATATGTGTAGTAATCTAGAGAAAAGTGGAAACTGGGCTTACAGACTTAACCCCTTAGCCAACTTGCTGTTGTTTCCTCTCCATCTAGATTGATTGGTTGATGTGAGAAGGAATCGTATTTCGATTGGGTTAGACATAGTCTAGATCCACCCACTTTACAACAGATGTTCCCAGCTGTCTCACATGGGGAATGAAAACATGGTGACCAAGCTATACTCCCAAGCACGCAAAATTATCATACCACTCTCCTCAAATTCCCCAAACAACACAAAACAATCATTCTTTCTGTTGTTCTATCTCTCTCTCTCTCTCACACACACACGCACACGCACACACAGATGAGTGTGCCAGTGGTCAGCATTGTCTGAACTGACAATAGTTCCCTGTAGCCTGGTAACAATGAGAAAACCCAACCCCTATTCTGTTCAGTTGCAATAGCCACTGGTGCAAAAAGGGAAAAAAAAGAAATCCCTGGGCAGTGAGAAAATGCAAATGGTGATACATTCTATACATACCCCACACACACAAATACATGAACGCACAGGAGTGTGGTCTGGACTAAATGAGCAGGGTGTTCCAGCCCAATCCATTCATGCTCTCCTAGTTTATGGCTGCCTGCAGCACAATAGTGCCTAGTCCTCATATAAGACCATGGCGTCTGTTGTGTGATGAGTCACTACTGGTGAACCCGATCACCTCTGGTTAGGATTATATACTGCATCAGCTGGTGATGTGGGCCTGAAATTATACCTTGCGTTTTGTAAATGGGCTCTTTGTATAGTTGTAAGAAACCTGGGCTCTGACTCATGGGTATGTATGTATTTTGCTAAGGTGCATGTTAAGACGTTGGTTTGCTGTGTAGATGTATTGGACAGAAGCTTGGCTCAACAGTGATGCAGACTAAACAGCAGACGCAAAGAGACTGAATCTTTATTTTTTTTTTCAAATGCATGTTTCAACATGAAAGCAGAGGTTTTCTGAACTTCTCAGCCAAAAAAATTAAGAAATCACTAATTAATGTAAAACTATGTGCCTGTATTGACTTCCTACACATATTACAGCTACAGTACACAACTGCCGTCTCCAAACTGGATAAGAAACAGTTGTGTGCAGCGTAATCTCTGAAGAATTTGATATGACTGTCCATCATATTTTACACCACAAACTATAACTGGTTTTAAGGAGAACATGCAGCTGTTGCTGAAACTATCTTACAATCAAAAATGGGATGCCTCAGGGTTCTATCCTAGGTCCACTGCAGTTTATATTATGACTTCTAAGCTATGTTTCAGTGTATGCCTTCATTCTTTTTAGTTTTAGTGATGCGTTTTATATGCCCAAGGCTTTAACCTTCAGTCTGCAATCTTCAGTTTCAAGTCATCACTCTTTAATCACAGACTTGTTTTAGATCCACAGATAATGATTAGATGATCTACTTCTACCTCTGACTCTTCAACTACCTTGCAATTAAAACTGTAAATGGCACCCACGTAACTCTTTCTGAGCCCTACAAATACCTAGGAATTTGGCTTACAGAAAAGATATTTAAGTTGGGATGGTTTAGAAAATTAGGGGGGGAAAAAGTCACACTTGGCTTTTCATTCAGTATTAGCAATGTCTGTCTTCTAACCATAAACAGTTCACTTTTATAGCCCTTGACTGTAAAGATATTCTATGCAATCATGCTGCCTCAGCAGTTAAACTCTGTACACCACAGTCTAGTATACTTTCAACAATAATGACTCAGCACCTTTCTCTGTATGAACAGGTTTTTAGACGTCCTTGTAGAGAAAAATATTTAGCCATTACCTGTTTATTAGCCATTTTATCATAATTATTAGCTATTTTTTGCTCTTACTTATTTAGAGATATCGTCCTATTTAAATCCAATAAGTAAAGCACACAAACCAGTAAAAGCTTAATTTGACATGTTCCTCATATACTCAAAGATATACTTGTATATCTTTGCAGATCTTTGTGATCAACGAACTGCAAACTGCCATCAAACTAGACACCCAGCTGTGATGACCTCTTGAATACAATAAAAAGGGTAAGGACGGTGCCTTTGTTTTCGTACCTCCAGTGTCCATGGTGTTGTCGTCATCAACACGGCACGTTTCTGTGAGCGTGATAAACAGGCAGCCAATCGGGTCTAATGGATGGCCCACCCAGCCTTCCAGGTTAGTGGTGGAGGTAACACCCCTCTGGAGAAGTTCTGAGAAAGGTACAGGAGGGGGAGAGACCGACATTAGAACCACCAGTTGAGACGCTGCACTTTCTCCAGAGAGCCAACAATGCCGTTACCTTTCTTTTGGTGTTTGTAGATGTCCATCTGCCTCTGCTGTTGTAGGCGGAGGGTGTTGATGATGGCGACGGCCAATCGCAGGGCTTCTCTGGAATAACCGTGTGAGCGCAAGGCGTCGACGCGAGCACATGCCGTTGGGACGTGGTCTGTGTGGTGAACACAGAAATAAGATGAGGTCAGGATACCTTCACAAGCACACAAACTCCTTCCTATACACACATTGCACTTTAATCACACACGCACACACACACACACACACACACACACACTACAGGATGTATGATGCAGTTAGTAATGGCATGCGCAGACTCAAACTCACATCCAAACTCACAGTGCAGTCTCAGCAGAAAGCCTGTGTGTCTGATAGCTGGCTTAAGTTGCAGAATCTGACAGATCTTAGCTGGAAGCTGCTTACTGCAGATACTGGCCTCAATATCAGCAGAATTACTGTGTGTGTGTGTGTGTGTGTGTGTGTGTGTGTGTGTGTGTGTGTGTGTGTGTGTGTGTGTGTGTTTTGGGTTGGCTTTTAGCTGAATCTGAGATTGTGTGTGTACAAGCTGACACACAAACACTGTCATTCGTCCTGAAAATGATGCCTTGTAATGAAGAAACTGTCTGCTCCTCAGTGCATGTTTGTAGCCTATATTATTTGACTAAATCATGAATGTGCACTTTTACACATCACAGACTGTAAATGATGCAAAAGGTAAATACGGTTGCTTTTCCTGGACCTGAGTAATGAAACCCTACCTAGCCAGAGTGGCAGGCCCTGCGGGCTGAACAGCAGGCTCTCCCCTTCTCTTTGGTAGGACGGAGACATGTAGTAGTCGCTACTAATGATCCTCTGCAGGTGGCTGTCCTGCCAGTGGAGGTCGCAGGCCTCGACAGCCCGACTGAACACAGTCCTCCGCGGCCTGGACAGAGAGTCTGATGCGACACACACAAAAAGCATGGTTACTGGTAGAAACGAGGCGCGTGCAGTCTATATTGTTTAAGTTGTAGAATCTTTCTGCTAATTCAGATCAGTTCTTGCTTGCAATTGCAGTAAGCTCAGAATTTAATGTGTGCACATTTGTGGTTTTGGTGCTGACCCTGGGCGAGGTTGCTCTGTGGCAGAGCGTTGGTAATGTTGGGAAGTTCGCTGCCATAGTTGCCGTCCTCCAGTGGGCAGATGTCCATGTCGCCCCACTTCTTCAGCTGCTTCAACCAACCACTCTTCTCCTCGCTTTTACAGTGAGGATTTAGCACCACACACACCCACAATGCACCTGTGAACAGTAAGGGGATCAGATGTCAGACTCTTAATAACAGAAGCTTTTAAGAGGGGGGTGTATCCCTAATATGGTCACGTCTTTGAAACTATACTGACCAAATACTCAAATATTTTGTTTACCAGGTGCAGCCAATCAGAAGAAAGTAGGCTTAAGGTGATCTGCACTAAGACCGAGTGTAAATTACTTGATAAGCTAAGCAAGAAAATGAACACCGCATAATTGATTCAAAACTATCTGGGTGGTTGCTGTCCTGAAAAACTTTACCAGCTTTTTAAAAACCCAGCAGTTCTTCTTCTGCAACAATTCTCAAAAAAAAAAAAGAAAAAGAAAAAAAAAATTAAGTAAATCTGTGCGTTTTAACTGGCAGGCTTTCACATATCAGAGAAAAATCAGGCAGCACACTCCGACTGTCTGTCTGTTATTCTTGTCTGCGTCTGTGTCACGATCTCCCCAGCTCACCCGGGAAGTGTTCTTATTGACCTCCTAAATACTGCGATTGATTGTGGAGAAGCTGAGCAGCCATATTGATCGGCAGCCTTTATCATTCACTCAGTGCAGGTGGAGAGAGAGGCCCGGGCAAGAGGAGGAGCAGCTGACTGGATAACCTAATAGCTTACTGAGTAGATGGATGTTTACCTGACACAGTGACTAGAAATTTGTCAGAACAACAAAAGGAAGACTTCTTTAGGGCTGTGACTGCACCAACTACACAGCCGATCCCTTCAGATTTTTCCAAACTAAAACTGTCAGACATCGCACTCTCCCTGTGTGTGTGTGTAACTGTTCTTACCCAGCTCATCCCAAAGCTGCCTGCACTTGTCCGTCATGCCTGTGCCTTGTTGTCTCCATAGTGACAGTCGGGGGTCTGCCATGAATTGTTCCGTTATGAGCGTTAGCATTCGGGCACCGTTGGAGTCCCGCATTCGCAGCATCTCTCGCACCTGGAAAGAGCACAGGCTTGGTAACTGTGAGTAACACAATAGTCTGACTGAGCAGCATGTACCTCCTGCACCTTAGAATAATCACACAGGCTGAAGCAGAAGGTGGAGGCAAAGAAAAAGACAGAACACATCTCAAGTTCACATACTTGGCAATAGAGAAAAAGTTTGGACATTTTGTGCACATTTGCATTCTTACTGGGAAGTTGGGTATGAAAACCACTTACTACTTTCAGTTTAGAACATTAAACATAACATTGTTTTTACATTGTGTCGGGGTGGCTGTGGAGGCGGTAGAGCAGGTCACCTACTAATCAGAAGGTTGGTGGTTCGATCCCCGTCTGCTCCAGTCTGCATGCCAAATATCCTTGGGCAAGATACTAACCCCAAGTTGCTCTCTGATGCATCCATCGGAGTGTGAATGTGTGCGAATGTCGGATAGAAAGCACTTGCATATTAGAAGCACAGAAAAAAGTGCTTGTGTGAATAGGTGTGTATGTGTGAATGAGGCAAGTTGCATAAAGTGCTTTGAGTACTCATTAGAGTAGAAAAGCACTATATAAGAATCAGTCCATTTACCATTTCAGATGACATCATATGCCCCCCCTCGAATTTGAAATTCGAACTAATACAAAAGACAGAACATGGCTTTTGGCGATTCATGATGCATGTATTCTACAAAACATTCTGAATACCAATTAAAACCAAATAAAAGAAACAGTTTGGCCCTGAAATTGAGAACTTGGCCTTATCAGAATGTGTTAAGTGGGCTTGTTTCAGTCAGGAAAGAGAAAGCATAGAAAACATCTGCACCGACTCATATTTAACCACAACTGGAAAGCTGTTCAGGCCTAATTGAGAAAATTAAGATACTGTCAAGCAGATATTAAAAGGTTATTCTCAGGAGTTGCAGGCACATAGATTTACTTGAATAGAACATTTTTACATACTTACAAACCACTAGAAACTAAATGCCAGATATCAGATTTCAGAGTGATGATGAAAATTAGTTCATGTCTTTGTTACTTTTAGGCTGGATTGTAATTCATTACTATTGTCAGGTTGTTTTACAAGCTCCCTGACAAGCCTTCACATGATCCCAGTGAGATTGCGAACAGGGACTAGAAAGAGAGAACGTTTTTCTCCCATATTGGCTTATCTTCATTGGTTCCCTGTTAAATCAAATTTATTCTTAGAGTGCAGGCTTAGTTATGGTTCTTAGGATATTTAAAAGTAAAATCGGAGGCAGAGCCTACACCTTCAGTGAATCCAGCCCTCAGTTTGGATTCTGGAGACAGACACGGTCTTAAATTTTAAGTTCAGGCTTAAAACTTTCCATTTGATCAAACTTAGTGATGCCTGAACCCTTCCTTAGCTATGCTGCAATAGGCTTCCCAGAGTGTTTCTTCTTCACTCTGTGTTTACACACACACACACACATTCATTCATTCATTTGTTCTTATATCTCTGGTCTCTTCCACAGTGTGTCCTTTGTCCTGACTCCATCCCCCCACCCCCTAACTGGTCAAGGCAGATGGCTGCCCCTCCCTGAATGGAGTTTTTCCTTCCCACTGTCGCTAAATGCTTTCTCATAGGAGTTGTTGGGGTTTTCTCTGGTGACACATTTCAAAATTGAATTAACTGCCGCACACTTTTTATTTTTAGCGATTGCCCACATTTAAGTAGGTGTGGATAAATTGCTGTCAAATTCTCTGCTGTGTTCACCATCTTCTAGCCAGCTGTTATGGTAGCAGTGGGCAGATTTCCACTATGTTTGCAGAGAAACGTATTATTCATGTAGCTATTTTCCTGCTTAGATTTGCCAAAACAGAGGAAACAAATAAATGTTCAAACGATGCAGAGGAAGGGAGCAGTGACACCAACCTTAGCGAACATGGAGTTGAGCTGTTTCCCAGAGCCGTAGTAACCTCCCTGCGACAGAAACTGCTTGACTTGCTCCCTGACTTGATCTTCATCCAGATGCCAGCAGTTATCATCATCAATGCTGGCGCCTGCAGTTGGGTCCGGGGCACCTGAGAGCGCACGGACACACAACACACACAAATAAATGACAGGGCCAGTGAATCCTACAGTGGCTGCAATACATGCACACAGCAACAATACAAAAAGAGAGCACATGGATTCTAACAAAAGCCCTGAATTCATATGAAAACTTCATTCCTTCCTGTCCTCAATCCACACCCCGGGATGAAAAAGATAAACAGACAGTGACCATGGGAAAGGGAGTTTACTTAAAGACAGCATCAGCTGCAACAACACCATTTTCTTAGGTCAGTACAAACACACTACATCTCCAATGTAATCCCTCAGTGCTGAAGGATAGTTGGAAATTTTTATCCTGAAATAAAGTTGAATTCTCTGAATCTTGGCACTGATCCTCTGCTCTCAAGCCTCTTTGTTTAACATTTAACTTGCAGCGCCCCTACACGACACCTAAGAAATGCTGCTTGTGTTTGCTTTTCCCCCCCGAGTGCATGATTAATCAAACTTTATTTTTCTTCTGTGTGTGTCTGACTGATACCACAGGGAAATGGAGATATGCACCAAATTTGGGGGGGGGGGGCTTTGATCTAGCAGGAAGTGAGCTGAGGAAAGCCCAGAGATGCATTTCCAACTGACTGGAAGAACACCGCAGCAAACAGCAACATTCCTCCATCAAAGCCAGACTCACGCCTGGGATCAACTGAACTTCAACCCCCATGATCCCCCTTGTCAAACACAGGAAGCACAGCGCGGGGCTTCCTGGACGAGGGAGCTGGAGTGTGTCAACATTTAGCGGGCAGGATGAAATAGAGAAGGAGATAAAGAGGTTTGTTTGGCGAAAGGATGTGTAGAGTTTGTCGTTTCCCCGACGCGGAGCTGTTCTGGCTCTCCTCGTTTTTAATCTCCCTCTACTTTCTCCGGCCCTTTCATGTTTCCTTCTCCTTTCCGTCTCCTCTCTTCCATTTCCCAGAGTGCCATCGCTTCTGTCTCCTCCTCTCAATGTCCCTTTCCTCTTCACACATCTCTCCCTACGCTTTCTCCTGCATCCATTTCATCATTCGAGTCCCTTTTTCTGGGCTTCCTTCAACCTACCCCTGCCAGTGGGAGGAGGTAGCGACTGGAGAGTGAGAACAGAGAAATCAAACGAGCCATTTGAAGCCTGCCTTGCTGCTTCGCCGGAGTAATCAGGGGCTCTGACGTATGACAGCCTGTAGGCTGGCGTGCAGCATGTTTCAAGTTGCGAGGCTTTTAAGTGTGGCCTGTTGCTGTGAAGATATTGCTGCAGAGGGATGGGCAGCACCTCCACAGAGCAAGAACTTTTTAAGAATTAAGGAAAGAGCTGTAACTTTCCGAATGACTGTCAGGAATTTACGGCATTGAAAACCTGGCGTGGAATGTGGTTTGTGGTTTGTGCTCTCACCATGGACCTGGTTGATCTCAGAGTTGGAAGAGAGAATCTCATCGGCCAGTTTCTGAGCAGTGGGCAGCACCTCGGTGTGGTGGGCTGTGATCAGATACTGCACCAGCTTCTGTAGTTGATCTCTGTTCATCTGGAACAAAGTCTCTGAGATAGGCAGCCGTAGCTTCACCTGCAACAAACACAAGTGGGTGTCCAGTGTGTCAACTGCATGTTATTACTGTAAAGTTTTCTAAACGCAAAGTCCCAGGTAGAAACATAATTTGGTCTTTGAGCTCATGAGACATGATTTATGTACCTTAAAATACGGTTATCCAGTTGTACTATGAATGTTCAGGGCAGTTTTTAATAAACTTAATTTAATTTGGTCCGTAGAACATATTAAAAAAGATGGATGAAGTGTTCTGAAACCTCGGGATGAGTGTTTTAAAACCACATGTGACGAAAGAGGAGCAGGTCCGACTATGACACTTTGTTGGACTAAATGTTTTATTCAATATATAATCAAATTCAGTGATTGCAGCCATAAACTTACTAGGAAAGTGTTTAAAGAGATCATGTTTCTGAGGCGTTTGCACCCATTAAAAAAAGAATACAGGTTTAAGATATTTCGGCACTGGCTTCACTTTTCAGACCTGGAAACTCTGTCCATCTTTTGCTCCGTCTATGATCTGGACACAAAGGTACGTAGAGCCACGTTGTATTAATTGTGGTGGATGTCTTCTTGGATTTCTCAGTTATTTGCACAGTTATTTGCATAATGTCACAGTGATGGATGCTCGTGTTAAGCTTGGAAAAAGTTTCAATTAATGTGTACAAATAATCCCGGTGAATCAAAAGCTTATCAGAAAGTTTATTTTTCCAACTCTTGGCTCTGTATGATGTCAGAGAGAGAGTGGAATCCCTAATATGGTCATCACAGGCACATAAGCTCAGGCTGTGAGCAATGCAACTCTACCCAGCTGCTGCTCAAACCTTGTGTTTTTGTAGGGGAGCCAATCGGAACAAAGCTAGCCTAAAAGTATAATCGATACATTTTGACTGGTGAATGATGCAAAGCTACCCAAGTAGAGTCCAAATTTAAGAGCACAGAGCTGAAAATGTGCATAGAGCCACTTTGATTCATGGCACTACAGCCTCTACTGTGTTTTGAGTGATGTAACCAGCATTGATAAACATAAGAGAAACCATCACTGATCGTAGCACTAACGGAATGTGTTGCATATTTTGGTTAAGGAATGTTAACCCAATGGAAAGGAAGCATCACAAAGCTGTGGTTATTACCTGTTCGGGCTTGCGAATCCGATATAGTGAGAGCGCCACGACATGCGCGCAGTAGAATATGTCTCGGTTCCCACAGCCACAGGTGACAGAGGTGATCTTGCACCGGTCGAAGCTGATGGCTACCTTGTGGGTGACCTCCGGCTCAGACGATGTGGCGGGTTCGGTCACTGTGCCGCTGAGGTGAAATCCTGCAGGGACACAAAGGAGGGACGATAGAGATGGGTGAGCTTTAAATGGTCTTACAAAAGTATGATAAAATGCAATCAGACATTTTTTTTGAGTAATTCAACTTCATTGCAACTTTTACACAGTTTAATTTGTTTAAGTTTTATGTTAAAACATAAAGATGTAGAAGGGAAAAAAAAGGCAGGAGAAACTGTGGTAACCTGAGCCTCTACAAACACACAGAGTGAAGACTGAGTACAAAACACACATCTTCATCAGGCTTCAACAGGACACTGAGCCATCTGATACTCAGGGTCTCTCTGTCCAAGGCTCAGTGCATCTGTGTGTGCGTGTGTAGTAGGAAGGTTGCTAGGGTGGGATCGTTTCCTGGCCCCACATACACACCCAGACCTACACCCACAGGATAGCAAGGCAGTTGGCAAAATACATGTCCACTTTGCATGGTTAATCTTTAGCCCTGACACACCAGGCCGACCATTTAGTGCTGGCCTTTGTTGTCGGCTGTCTGCAGATGAGCATTTCCTGTACTTTTTAAAAGGCATTTCAGGACTCGATGTAACCATTTGGCCAATTTCACAAACAAGTTCCAAACCTGCACTTAATTGAGTAGCATGAGGCTAAAAACAACTGCACAAGCAATAAATGACATCACTGTAACCACTCATGAGATTTTATTGATTAACCCCATGTGACACCCAGAGTCTAGATATAAATGAAAGCAAGAGCAAGTCCAGGCTCCATCTTTGGTCCTCTTCTGTTTCATATTTCAATGCTTAAAAAAGTCTTTTAAATACAACATAGCTGTTGCAAACATATCCAAAGTCAGGAACTACAACCTGACTAATGTCAAGTGTTAGATGGAGATAAAGGTGGAGAAATTTGAGAGAAGAAAAGAGAATGGAGGAGGGGAAAGTATCTGTTCTGTCATGTCATTTCACTCTGACAGGTCAATTATTTATGAGGTAAAGAGTGTGTGCAGGTGTTTGTGTGTGTGCATGCACTTTGTCACAAACCATAGTCTACCGCTTCTTTTACACATAGAAGTTCAAAAGGCAGAGACAAAAAAACAAAACATAAAGGGGATGCCAAACAACCTAAGTGCAAAACAATAGTATGGCTATTTTAGTCATGGTGGTTTATGTGCAAGGTACATAACTAAAACTCTGACACACCAACAAACATCGGTGCAAACACAAGGAAACACACACACACTTAATTCTGGGGTGTGGGCCAGCATGGTGGAGTGGCCTAATAAGCTTGTTTTAAGCCATCCCCTGGCAAAAATCCCACAATAGGCTTTTCCAAACCAAATGCTGTGAGCACAAACACAAGGTAGCTCACAGACACACACACACACGCAAACACAGCCAGAGCCAATCAACTGTAAACTGCTTTCACCAGACAAAGGAAGATAAGGAGCTACGAGAGAGCGAGTGAAGAGAGTGACGACGACACTGACAGCGCGTATCGTCTCGCCAACCAACTCACAAAACCGTCTGAACCAAAATGAAACTGGTCAACTCACCACATCCTCCAAATGTACAAGCTAACCAGCCTTCTCTTTACGCCGAAATCTCAATCCACAGCCAAGCTGCTGACAAAGGACTACACATGTTAAATGCAGACACAAAGCCACAACACTTAATACTGCAATCCTCCAATGTTCAGAGGCCTTGAAACAAAAAAACGATGTAATCCTGTGCTGCCCTGCAGGTTCTATTTAAATGTACATTCCAGGTAGATTACCTCAGAGTATGAAAAGTGTATAAGTGTACCAGTTACACTCAAAACTGTCAGAAAGAAAAAAGGCTGATGTTTCTGTCCATCTTTACTTGTCCTAAGTGCGTTTGCCGTCTTAATAATTTTCTTGAGCGGCCTATTTCCCGGTGTCTACTGTTACTGGACTGTATTTTCTCCTTTCAAGACTTGATCAGACTCTATATAACACGACTGCTTAGTCATTCCTGTTATATTTATTTGAAACTGTGATAAATTCTCTGGACAAGTCCACATGGTGTGGGAAACAAAACAAAAGTGCAGGCATATGCACAGACCCCATACTCACTGATGACGGACCAGAGGACACAAACTACTAGTACTTACATCAGAGGTGTCTCTATGACAGATGGTCACGGTCATGTTGGAATAGGTTCAAACTTCATATTTTTGCCTTTGCCATCTTGCACTTTTATAAGCAGATGTGCCAAATGTGGGGTGGATCTGACTGAGAAACTGAAGAAAAACTACAAGATGCCGAGCAGGCAGTTGACAGTCGCACTCCGCTCTATTTGACTTCAATAGGGCCTGTAAGTTACTAAATTAACAGCCTGCTGCACTCAATGAGACTTTGAAATGTCATTACTGACAGCCATTAGGAATAATGCAGGTTTGAAGCATTTCTGCATTGGCTTCACCTTTCAGACGCAGAACCTACATCCATCTTTGATATACAGTCCATGGTAGCAACACACTCGTGCCAAAGTAGCCCCCTGCGGTATGTGCAGTGCAGATCTACTTTCAATCTACATGTGGCCAAACCACTTGAACTACC